AGCTGTTCTTGGTGTCAGCCTCTTGCTGTGTGACATCTTCCGGAGAAACAGTGACATTCCCTTTGTAGCTCTGAAAGATGAACGACCACCTGGTCGTCTATCTGGCAGCATTGACCTGAAGGTGTTCTGTGAGGACTTGAGCACCAAGAACAGCTTCCCTGCACCGCTTACATTTGGGAGAGCACGGGAGATGATGGTGCAAGGTGACAGGGTTGTCAAGAAGTGCCTCTTTGAGGGTTTCTTGGTAGAGAAGTTACGGTTCTTCCCCCACATCAAGTTTTGGGATGTGCGTGGCTCCCACAAACTCTTCTGGAACTGTAGAGACTATGTTGTCTTGGAGTCTGAAGGCTTCAATGTACAACTTTCGAAGGTAGCAACAGCAACACTTCAAGTCTGTGCAGAGGTGGAGCGGCGTTCCTTGAGCTATTCAAGGAATCTTGAGAAGTACCGTGACCATGGGATGTTGTGGATGGAAAGGGTACTTCAAAGGATTCCTGAGAAAGTGGTGCAGTTTGAATGCAAGCAGACCAGAGACCTCTCCACCGCACAGCATTCTGGGTAAATACAACCAAAACAGAAATGCTAATCTAGTGCTAGCAGGAGAAATGGTTCTTCATCTTTTAACAAAGACAAAAAAGAAATCCTACAATCGTTAAAATCTGCCGCTACTCCATTTTTTGTGAAGAAGGAAGTTGTGCTCATTATCTTCTTCAGAGGTTTTTATGGTGCAGCGCCCCCACAGGTGAGGAGGTGAACAAATTTTTCAATTCTTTTGGTTTATTTGACACAGTGCAGTTTGAAAGTGAGAAAGTTCCCTTAGAGGTGTGAAAGCTCCCTGAGAAAGCAGAAATATCCTTTAATGGGAGATGGGAAAGCCACATTTATCTGTTTTACTGTGAAGTTTAAAATTTTAAATATTCAGATGCTTTGATTTCAGCTGGATCTGCATCAGATTCAGTCCCACATGTGAAAGTGGCACAAATCTGATGTTGTTTTGAGGGGTGAAAAGAACAGAAATTGCATTAATTAGTCAAATACAGGGAATAAAAGTATTTTATTGCCTGTACAGCATATTCTCAAATAGCATAAAAGCTGAATGAGCACAGACTTTATGTCCAGATTTAAAAAAAAAAAAAAAAAAGTCAAAGACAAACATTTCTGCTGTTACCTTTTTTAATCTTGTCATGTAGTAATGTAGACTTTGCTTACTCCTGGTTTATTAGCAGTAGAAATAAAGCAGTATTTTTTAATATTCTATTATTTTCTGACACCAGGACTTTTATTTTAAAGTGGAGGAAATGGTCTGCCTTTAAAACCGTCCACCCGGGTGTAACTGGGGTCTTTTGATTTTGTCTCAAGGAAACTTGTCAAGATTAGTCATACATAAAAGATGAGGTATATCTCAATGCAGGAGCAGATGATTTCACCACATTGCATCATATTTGGACCAAACTGACCACACACCATTCCTTTAAATCCACAATTCAAATGAGAATTGAATCCCTCTGCTGGAGGGCAACAAGCTGCTGGCTGACGAAGACAAGCAATGATTTTAGCTGTTATGCCAATTTCTTAAATGCATGCCTGGTATGATATTTAAAAGATAAAGGGACAATTCTTTGCAACTAATTGTCGACACTATGAGAACCAGATAACTCAGGAAAAGGTTTAATTAAGAAAAAAATAGCGAGGGAAGCAAGATATTCTTGTTTGATTTTGTAGATGTGATGTTGAATTTGTTGTGCTTCAATTTCAGTTCAAAAAAATAATAAAAGCGACCAAATCATGAACTCTGACAGATCATCACTGGAGCGAGTGTTTACATTAGCTGTGTGTTAGCTTAGCTAAAAGCAGTGGGGTGCTAATCTAGTGCAGGGATCGCTTATTAATAATCGCTAAATAAACATCAAGCTTTAAAACATAAAACTAACTGGATACTCTGCTCTTTTTGTGGGAAATGTTTGAGTATTTTTGGCTCTTCTCTAAATCCTGATCAATTTGGTGGTGGTGATGTCAGTTGCTATGAAAACGAGTACGTGTATAGCCTAGCCGACAACAGAAAGCAAGAAAAAAGGTGGTTTTGAGTTGTTCTTCAACGTTTGTTCTGCTTTATTTTTACTGCAGTAAACTAATAACAGGTTTCATTTGGTTAACCGTATTGTTCTGCCGCGGCAGCGTGGCTGTGGACGGCATGTACGAGAATCATATACGCCGAATCTCCAGCTTTGTTCACATGCGCAAAATTTCTGGGCAGAGACAAAATTCATGCAGCATAAAATAAGCAGATGGAAGATGAGAAATGATTTAAATGGGCAGCTTATGTGTTCGTTATTCACAAAAATGCTAATCAGTGCTTTTGGTACACTGTTATTTACAGTGAACCAAACTCACCGGGCTCCAGGTGTTTTTATTCCACAGCCCTGTGTTTCAGATGAAGAGTGAAGCAGCAGCAGCCATCTGCTGTTGGCGTTCAGCAGTGCAGCGGCAGCTCAGATGAAGTCAAGCTGCAGGCAGCTGCAGGATCATCGCTCTCAGAACTGACAGATCCCGTCCAAAACGGTGAAAATAGGCCTGAACTCGTCTGAAGCATTTTCTACTTTCCAGCTGACAGTTTTGAATCCATTATCCAGAGACAAGACTCAAATATGATCCGTTTCCCCCTGCAGTCAAACATCGTTCTTAGTGTGAAATTCTTGCTTCTCGCTGCACTCTGCGGCGCTAAGCCACAGCTTTCTTTTAAATCCCTTATTTAAACAAACATTCATGTCAGCGCCTTTTCTCAAAGAGATTTTTTTATCCCCCTTTGCTCTTTTTCATTACTTATTTCTTTCCCTGCCACACAGTTTCTCCTGTCTTTTGTTCTAACCCTTTCAAAAACTAGTGAAGTGCTCAAAAGTGAGAATATGCTCGATGATGTTTAGATTTTGAATTATTCAGCTCATGGTGGGGAAGAGGAGGAGAACAAACATGGCTCTAACAGAATGGAGTGATTTGTGTGCTAAATTTCTATTGTGAAAATAGCCAATAAAATAAAAATAAATGTAATATGTAGTTTATGCAGAAAACTTAAATTTTGTGATTTCACTGACAAACTAGAATTTTGACAGATAAGATTTAAAAACTGTAAACGTTTTTCAGCAACCAAAATTTATTCCTGCTGGGTCATGATGTCCCTCCCCCACCTGTTACTACTTACTGTAGGTCAGCTGGCTGGAAATAATATTCCTATAATTTTGATTACAAGAAAAACAAATATGAACATTTGGAAATATTTCTGGTCACAAAACATTAAAAATTCTTATGTGAAACTAAGGAGTGAAAAAAACTAATATTTTAAGAGAAAACGTTGAGCTTTTTTGGACTTTACGAAGTTGTTTTTTTAGGTTACATTGAATTTCCACAGTTTAAAGGATATTACTTTGTGTGATGCCAGAGAAAGTGCCATCATAGTGGTGCTTTATGTGCCAAAAGCTGGAGTAAACTCAATTTAAAGAGCAGAATACGCCACCCACAATAAGAATAAGCCACTTAAAAATGACTAATTTTAAAGAGAATCACTGAACGACTCAGCACGACTATTGCAAAAATAAATCTGCTTAATTAATATACTGTCATTCAGAAACAAATGAATGAATTAGGGAACGTAACCAAAATAAAAGCATAACGCTAATTTATTTCTGCATTAGCAATGGGAAGAATTGCCACAGACAAATCAGGTTTTAAAATATTTCTACTTAAAGTTACCAAACTCGTTACCAACAAAGTGTTAAATAATAAGGACGATTCTTTGCTGCTTTAGCTGTAATTTTGGCACCACACAACTGCAGTGGTTTCAGAAGACGGTCCAAAAAACAAATGCACAATTCAGCAACTTTTGCTGTCAAAATAAAATAATGATCAACAGTCTGCGTTGATTTTTCCCCTCAGCATCTCTCCTGAAGATGAAATAGCCAAGATCATTTCTCTGCTTCTTGTTATTCATTTTGCTGCAGGAGGTTCATTTCCCAGATGTTATTGTTTGTGGGTGGCTGCGCCTGCAGTTAGGTCTCCCTTACATTTTAAAGAGGCTTGCGTTTCCCTGCAGGTGGACAGACCAGGGAACACTTAGGAAAAAATAAATAAATAATGAAGAAAAGCTGACGGAGGGTTTAATTTGCGGGGAAAACCCTTAGGCTTTATGGCTCTGCGCGTTATGCGCTTCCAAAACCATGGGGGAGCTCAAACATTTTGCAGCTTTATCCATTTCTGTCTCCATCTTCATACACGTGCACAAACGAGCACGCGCACACACACCCACACTGCAAATACAGCAGAAAGCTGCACCATCCTCTCTCTCTCTCTCTCTTCTAACTGCACAAAGCCTTGTCATGCGCACCCAAAACGCACCAACGCGCAAAGCAGAGTCCACGGAGACCCACACAAACTCTGCGGCCCTCACACACAAATTGACGCGCACGCACTTCAGCTACACCTCCTCTATTTTCTCCTCAGCATTAGTCAATACATTCAGGATACATAAACCACCCACCAGTCACCCAAAGCATCTTTCTCTCTCTCCCTTCTCAACCTGCAGCGACACATCAACAGCAACACCATCGTCACTTTGAAAACCAGATCAGACCCAAACACTGGAGCTCTGTGGTGAAAATAAACATGGATCCAGGTATGCACCATGTTTCAGGGCTTCATCTGCGTATGGAGAAGCTGCCCAACCAGCTTGAGCCTGATAGTCAACAAAAGCACCAATTTTGCTTAAAAAATAAATCAGTTCACGAGCAAACAGACTAAAAAAAGTGACAAACTAACGCTAATCTCTTCTTAAAGACATTTCACGACTGAAAACACACGGTTTCAAATGATGGCCGTCCTTTAAATGTGGCACCATGACAGACAGCAGCTGCTGCTAATTGAGTCAATCAGGCTGAAGACGCTTACAGGTGTTTAATTCTCTCCGTGTGCGGCAGAAACGGGTTCAGCGGGAACCTGCAGGTGGTCCTTACCTGTTCGGGAGACTCCTTTTTCTCCGTCTGTGAGCTGGAAAAAGAGCAGACATTCACCGCGGAGCTCCTCCAAAATTAATGATTACTCCCCGCTCCGCTCCGCTCGCGCGCCTCACGTGCGGCGCTCCGGCTCTGAATGCGTATCTGTCCGCGTTTCCTCCCCTCCGCCACCTCGCTCTCTCTCTTTTTGTTTCTCTCGCGGGATTTCCACCTCCGTCTTCCTCTCCTCCTGCTTCTTCTCCTTTAACTCCGCAGAATCAGCTCGTCCTCCTCGAGCCTGTCGAACCGAGGCGGAGCGGCAGGGGACGCGTTTCCTCCGCGCGACCCATCGCGATGCCAGCGGCGGGAGGAAAATGATGGAAGTGTGGGATCAATCCCAAATGAATCCCAAACCCCAGAGCTACAGGTGACGGATCATTGGCTGTTTGGGAAATAAAGAATAAAACCCAGAGAGTTGGCTTTGGTTCCGGCTCCAGAGTGGCATCTGTAACTGACTCTGGTTTAGGAAAGACATCACTTCATGCACCCTCTCTCTCTCTCTCTGTATCTCTCTCTCTCTCTCTTTCTCTCTCTCTGTCTCTTTCTCTCTCTTTCACAGCTCACTCACAAAAAGAAAAAATCACTGGCAACATTTAAGCTTTCCAGGTATTCCAGTTAAAATGGTTTCTTCTTCTGTTTCATAACCTTGTTTGATAAGCAGAAGATATCGGCTCCTTTATAAGTCATAAATTAGCCTAATGAAAAAAATAAGTTGGCATTTTCTTTAAGGCCAATATAGATTGACAGGACTGCTTAATCTTGTTGATATGCCATGCCGAGACTTTTTATTCTCGTGGAAGTTTCTTCTTGCTCAGGTTTGAAAATCATTAGTGGAGCCTCCTGCTCAACCAACAAGAATACCGAGAGTGGTTTCTGGATGGTTATTGACATTAAAACACTTGTCTTTTCCAGCGCCTACTATAAAGGACATATAAAACCAGCTGACCAGGTGCTCAGCTTGGGTTGCTAGGTGATGGGCGGTGCCTTAACATTCTGAAGGTTTTTTAAAACAACTTGTTTTCTAGACACTAAAAAACATTCACTTATTGCCAATTTGTTTTTCCTAAGCAGTTGGGCTGTTTTTAGGAGCAGCAGAGACGCAAATGAAAGTACAAAAATGTGTAAAATGTAAATTTTGGACTGATGTCCCATTTAAATTTGAGCATTTCCAAAACTTTATCTAGTATGGGGTTTTTGTAACTTCTATGTAACATAAATCAAGGAAGAAACATTAGTCAACCTGCGGCGTATTGATTTGGCCTGGTTTGTTCCAATCAATTAGTGGAGCTGATGAATTTTATATTACAATATAAGCTAATACTGGTTCTGACAGAAGTTCAGTTTGTTGCAAATTGGATCTACATGGCAGTAGACCTGTCAAGATGCATATGCTGACCACTATCTAGCTTCAAAAGTGATAACATTGGGCACATAAGCACTACAGCATTGGAAGAAGGCGCCTTGGTTTGATACATTTAGTTTTGTTTTACATCTTAATGGATGGCCTGGTTTATATTCCTCACTTAATTGGAGATACATGGCACCAGGATGAACTTACGATACAAGGCAAGCTGTCGGTGAAGCCTGTGGACATGTTGTGTCCTGCTATTACTTTGACGTCTACTACATCAGCATTGCTGCAGACCGCCTGCATCTTTTCACAGGGATGTTATTTCTTGGTGGCTGCAACCTCTGAGCAGAAATTTTTTTTCAAAGAGCAACAAAAGCAACTGCTGACTCCAAAAACTCTTTGGACCTGAAAATAATCTGAATATCCGGAACAAAGAAGACAAATCTATGGAGGCCTTTCCTTGTATCTTGCAGGACTCAAAGGATCTGCTGCCGACATCTTGGTGCCAGATAAAGCAGCTAATGGGGAACCAAAACTTTTTAGATCAGTCTGAAACATTTTGTTTTGGCTGATGTTGTATATTTTCAATCGAACAACAAGAAGGAAGGAAAGTTGGCAGTGTTCTAAATTCTTAGGTACAACCATACGTTTATGAATTTCTTTTCCTGACATCTTGGCATGAGAAGAGATTTATTACGTACATGCAAGACCTGTATTTACAGCCACTGATCGAATATTATTTCACTAGAAAAAATCTTTTGTCATGACATTTTAGAAAATAAACTTGTCAAAAGCAAATCTGTCACATTGTTCAGTTGTCTAGAGAGATCAGAAAGTGTGACAAACACAGCAACCAATTTCCGTCTGACATGCCAAGTCTCTGAAATATCTTTGGTTTGAGTCATCACTGATTTATTATGTTCCTGTCTGACACTTTTTAACTTATAGCAAAACTGTTTAATTTCAATGTTCGCACATTTTCCAAAGCATTTACAAGTGGACTTCTTTCTTCCTTGGGGTTATGCAATACTGAAGACAGAATTGATACACTTTGAGTGAAAAGGTTCAGATCCAAACAAGCGGCAAACGGAGTTAAAGCTGATTTTACAGTCTATGTTGGTGCATGTTGAGACTTCAGGACAACTTTCTCCAGAAGGACATGGGGAAACCCAAATGTGATGGTATTGTGTGAGCAAGTGGATCCTTTCTGTGCTGTGCCAGTTTTATTTAATGTTTAAGGTCAGGACATGGTTTCTCTATGAAACTAACAACCAGCTCCAACTCCTACACAAAACAAAAATATATAGCACAACTACAGTTAACGCCAGCTAACTTCACAATCAATAGTTCACTAAATATTCACATAAAGGAATTAATTTAAATATTACAGTGGTGATAACATGAACTATCTTAAGTCTATAAATAAACTGGACGTTTTTAGATAAAAAAAAACAAAAAACACTTGCCTCGATCAATAAAGTATATTCTCTTTTATTCTATTCTACATCCTATTTATCAGGCAGAGTCAGACTATCAGTTCATTCAGCTTTGATATCCTATATCCACTGGTACCATCATTTATTTATTATTTATTTTTAACAGATAACAATCCGACATCCCCTCAGGATGTCTAGACTGATCCAAATCACAGATGGCCTAAAATTTCCATCATGCAGAAGGTAATCCATTCAAAAATAATGGTCATTACAGACTCCTGGGGCTCCTGCTAACCTGACACTTCCTGTTCTGTTCGCCACATCATAAAATCAAATGACTTTAATCCAGTACATGCAATCTGTTACCCTGTACCATCCCTGTCCACCGGCTGGATTTGTTACTATGGATTTGCTCAACAGTGACACAGTGGGATCACTGGGATTGCTTTTAGATTGGTTCTCCCTGCGCTCGGCTTCAATAGCAAGACAGAGATCTGATAAATTACAAGCTCAAACCAACTCTGTGTTGGATTTCCAGTCAAGAAAAACTGGTCAAAAATGAATCTGGATTTTTATTAAAAGGGGAATTATATGGCATATTTTTAATTATTATTTTTTTAAATAAAAGAATAGGGTATACATGAATGTATGCCCTGATAATGCAGCATGTTTTGGTGCTGATCCGATAAGTAAATACAGGACCAATGTCAGCGATACCAATACAATATTTAATATTTAACCACCACTTTAAGTAATCAAACTTCTGACCTTTATTAGGTGTCTGTGTGGCTTTTTTTAAATTACTCTTTTCAAACTAAAGATAAACACAAAAATCTGAGAGGATTGTTTTCTACACAAAGAAAGAGCAAGCTATTGTACTTTGAAATTTATGGTAGACTTGAGAAACTACAACACAAAAAATAAAATTTCAAAAGGGGACACACAAAAATAAACAAGTGAGATGATGCAGGAGTAAAAGTAAAACGTTAATATTAAAAGAGGATATGAGGAAGATGTAGATCTACATTAAAAACGGTGCATAAAACCAGAACAAAACTGTGTGCAGAAACCAGCCATTGCTGTATGAAACCTTTAGCAAATGCATTGCCTCTGTTACGATCTTATCGGACTGAACATAACGTTAGTGTAAACGTTGGCTGATGTGTGTGTGTGTGTGTGTGTGTGTGTGTGTGTGTGTGTGTGTGTGTGTGTGTGTGTGTGTGCATTGCTGAGTCCATGGGAACAGATACGGTACATCATAACAGACACCTGGAGCCCGAGTCGCAGCTTCTGCCGCGGTCTGGACGCAGCGTGCGCCTTTGCTGCGTTTTGTTCTGCCCGGTGTGTGGGAGTCTGTATCCATGGGACGTCTAATTCAATTACTGGAACATCATGAAGGGAGAAACGAAGCGCAGGGAAAGGAGGTGGAGTTCAATGCGTACAAAAGGAAAATGCACAGAAGATGTGAAAGGAGAGGAGAGGACAGAAGGTTGACTGAGTAGAAGTGAATAAGCAACAGGGAGTGACAGGAAATGAAGAGAGAAGGATGGGAGTGGAGAGGAAGAACAGAGGAGGGAGGGAGAATCGTTCATCTGGATGCGTGTGTGACATTTTCCAGAACAGTGCCTTGTCCTAGTGTGTGTATGTGAGGAATAGATTATTTTAGGCTTATCCAGCATGTACTGACACACACGCTGCAAATATTTGAGATATGCTTCCATATAAGCAGAAGCAAAGATGACAGCCTGCATTTTAACAATGAACGACGTAATAAAAGAGTGCAAGTATGCTGATCTTTATCTATTCCAGCTCTGTTGGCTCCTCACACACACGAGAATATGAAACATTTATCAGCATGAATCCTCACACTTCAGTATTCGCACAAAGATTCACATTGGATGCAAAAATCCTGCAGAGTTCAGAGAATCAAAATGAGTCGACTGTAGTAGGAAACGTGTCTGATAGATTAAAGTTCGGTTATGTTTGGACAAGATGCTCATTCTAGCAGTTTATTGTTTTAATATCAAGTTTGTTGTTTTTCAGTGCAATACTTTTGGTTTTATTGCCAATCGGTTTGAAGATTCGTCAGCAAGATTTGACAATAATTTAAGAGGACAAAATGTCTTCAAGTGTCAATTTCTCTAATGACTTGATTAGAAGAAGCATTTTAATCTCACTTAATGTGACCCAAACAATTAGAAGTCACCTATTTTCTGTAAACATGTTAAAGGAAATTACAGTCAACATAAGCCACCAACATAATTTACATCTTTTCTCTATGACTGAGCATTAGGGCCACACTGAGGAAACACAAAAAATTGCAAGAATAAAGCAATAATATCACTAGAATAAAGTCACGATATTTCAAGAATAAAGTAGTAGTGTTATGTCTTTATTCACATAATTTTATTGTATTATTCTTGTAATTTTAAAAAAAACTATTCTAAAATAAATTTAGTGCAAAGAAATATTTAAATGTTTTGTCTTTTGTCACTGGGAGGTTGAAACCAAAGTTCTTCAAAATGTTCTCACCTTGTTTAATACAGAAAATCAAGATAAAACATATAACATAAAACAACAATAAGTTAATTAATATTCGTCTGTACTGCATAACTGAAGCCC